AAGTAGAAATCCCATCACTTCGAATTTTGAAAGAGGTGAAATTGGATGAAGCTGAATGGGTTCAGGCTCGGTTTGACCAATTGAATCTCATTGAAGAAAAGAGTTAAAAGCTATTTGCCATGGTCAGATGTATCAGAAACGGATGATGAGAGCTCATGATAAGAAGTTCATCCAAGAGAATTTCGAGAGGGTGATCTAGTGCTAAAAAGATCCTGCCAATTCATAAGATTTCCGAGGGAATGGATGCCTAATTGGGAAGGTCCATATGTTGTCAATAAGGCCTTCTCTGGGGGAGCGTTGATCTTGGCAGAGATGGATGGAGAAAAATTGAGAATCCAGTAAACTCAGACTCTGTCAAGAAGTACTATGCTTGAAGAAAAAAAAAGGAACAAATAAAAAGATGAAAAATGAAAAAAAATGAAAATGAAAAATGAAAAAAAAAAAGAAATGAAAAAATAAAAAGAGAAAAAGGAGGGTTTGAGATGAAAATCCGCAAGGACATTTTGAAACCAAAGGAAGACTTTGAGTTGAAAACCTGAAAATGCGGCTCAAAAGCATTTTGAGATTAGGCATCAGACGACTAAATCTTCTTGAGTCTGATATTTTGAGAGAAGCTTCACATCTATAGACATTTTGGCAATTCTCGAAGTCCTCCAAACAAAGCTCAACTCAATAGTTATATCAAGTGGATTGATTCAGGAACATTCGTTCTAATGATCCATAAGGACATTTGACTTATGGTTTTAAATTTCCATTATTAATGTGATTGCCATAACTTTGTAAATTCAATTTCTTGTCAGTAAATTCGAAGTTTGTTATTTCAAGTCTCAATTTTATTCATTCTTCTTATAAGTAAATTGACATGGCATTAAAAAAATAAAAGATTTTGGTATTACTCTGAATTAATACTTCCATATTAGAGATTCTAGCCCTAATGATCGAAAAGATTAGGGTATGACATGGCCAAAGAAAATGCATGTGAGTTGAGAAAAGAAAGCATATTGAAAACACTGATATTTTGATACGCTGACAAAGATGAGCATTTCAAAAGAAACAGAAAAGGATTTGCATGGGAACAAGAGAAATGAGAATTCGCAAAATGGCCCAAGCAAAATGTGGAGTGCAAACGACCAATGATGCATTTAAAATGAAAATTTGCAGGACCACAAAGTTCATAATATTAAAATGCCATCATGCATACATCAGTAAGCATCTATAAATAGGAACATGCTCATTCATTCATATTCATTGAAATGCTTTGACAGAAATTCAGAGAGAGTCAATAACAATTAAGATTCACCGCAGAAGGAGGTGAACCAACATTTCCAATGGAGAGTTCATATGAGAAGAACTCATCGACAGAGGGAGAAGAAGTTCATAATGAGAAGAGCTTGTTCGACTTATCACTCGATTTATGACATTTTTAATCAGTGACACCTCGCTTGAGGATTGATTTTTCAGGAGAGTTCATAATGAGAAGAACTCATCCAACGAGGAAAAGAAGTTCATAATGAGAAGAACTTGTTCAACTTCGCATCAACATTTTCATGGAGAGTTCATAATGAAAAGAACTCATCCAATAGAGGGAGAAGAAGTTCATAATGAGAAGAGCTTTTTTGACCTATCACTTGATTCACGACATTTCGAATCAGTGACGCCTCGCTTGAGGGATCGACATTTCCAATGAAGAGTTCATAATGAGAACTCATCATAAAGGAGAAAGTTCATAATGAGAAGAACTTGTTCCTTTCAAATTCACCACAGATGGAGGTGAACCAACATTTCCTGAAGAGTTCATAATGAGAAGAACTCGTCCTAAAGGAGAAAGTTCATAATGAGAAAAACATGTTCTTTCTAAGTCCATCGCAAAAGATTTGGATCAACATTTCCAAAAGAGTTCATAATGAGAAAGAACTCATCCACGAGAAAAAAGAAGTTCATAATGAGAAGAACTTTCAATCTAACGACGAAGGAAGATAAAAAAAAATGGTTGTATGTTTCGTCTTTGCCCTATTCTTGTTAACACAATAATGTGCAAAGAGGGCAGCTGTAACACCCATTTTTTTTTGTCAGAGTTAAAAATATTATTAAATTATTATTATTATTATTATTATTATTAGTATTATTAAGTGTATTTATATTTTTGTGCAGGCCAAATGTGGTCCAATTATAAGCAACCCAACAGACCCAGATCAATAACAGTACCAAGCCTCTCCACCGATGAGTCACTAAGGCTAGTCACCTCTGAGCAAGTTGAAACATCATCTTCACCATGTCGGCCACTGAATAGCAAAAAAACAAACAACAATATCAGCAAAGTCAAGAGCGTATCACCTAAATCATACCTAACCTGTCAATATTTCACCAAATAACAAGAAAAATGAAGAAGATGACAAGGGGATTCGGTGATACAATGGAGATAAAACGAAGGGAATTTCAACGATAAAAGGGGGTTCATTAGCAACCATTCGAGAGGAAGAAAGGATTCAAAAAAAATAGAGAGTATTCGAAAGGGGGCTCTGGAACGAAACAAAAAAGAAGAAAAGAGAGCATCAATCATTAGCAAGCAAAAAAGCCAAAGGAAAAACACGAAAGGAAAACATGGTTCTTGTAATCGGGGTATTCTAAAACCCACAAAAACAGTTTGTATTAGGGGTCATTTCTCCATCTTTCGAAAAGCAATACACAGAATCAAAGGGTATCTATTTTTTTAGTTTTCATTCTCTTTTGTTTTCATAATTTTATTGTGTGTGTATGTTTTGAATCGAAACCAAATTAAAGGCGTAATAGAGATAGTATAACATTTACCTTAGTTGTCTTGATTTGCTCCATACCGTTCAATTTACACTAAAAAAAGCTGTGTTAATTAGAAATAATTTCATTATAAAATAAGAAGGGGTCTTGATAGCTAACCGGCCGTTGCTAGAGGTGGTTGGAATGCTTGATACCGATTTTTGTGGCGGTTTGCAAGAGGGTAGAGCTTTGAAGCTCTCGTGCGAAGAATAGGGGGAGAGAAGTGGAAGAAGAACGGCGCATGGAGTTTAGGTTAAGCAGGTGTGTTTTGTTTGTTTTTAGGTTAAATATTAACTCAAGTTTTTTTTAGTTAATTTGTACAAACTGACAGTGTTTAGTCGGGTTCAATGTAACTTTTGTGGGTGATGGGTTTATTGCTTAGGAAGCTATGCATGTTTTAAGTTTAGTGCTTTCTAGTCCTTAATTCATATTTCCTGCATTTTTTAATTTCACCATTATATTTATGTGCATTATAACTTGGTCTGTAAATCAATGTTTGCATGTTAATAATTTGGTCTCTTTATTTTATGCATATTTGATTTTAGTCCTAACTGTCTATTATTTAATTTATGTTGTTTAGACATTTGACTTTTAATTTTATGCATGTTTCTTTTTAGTCATACGCATATTTATGGTTTATTTCGATGTTAGTCCTTTAGAATGATATTTTGTTTTGTTTCAGTTCCATTATTTTTTAGTCTAATACTTATATTTTTATCTTAATTTATTTTGTTTTTAGTCACCTAGTCATTTAGTTCGTTAGTCTATTACTTCATAAATTAGTATTTAAGTTGTGTTAATCTATATATTAATTCGAATATATATATATATATATATATATATATATATATAATTAATTTAAATTTACTTGATTTGTTATAGTATGAAAAGTAATTTCAATTGTATTAATGTTATTATATAGATTGGTCTATTTATTTATTTATGCTTTGTTATATATGTAATATAGTATGTTGTAAAATTCTTTTTTTTATTTATTTTAATATTTATATTACTTGTTTTATTTGGATTTTTTAATATTTTTATATGTGAACTTTATAATAAATTAATATATTTGAAATAATTATAGTTCATTTCAGATGTTTTATTAATACCTATTGTTTATTTATTAGTTATATTATTAAATATCTATTATTATTTTATTTGATATTTGTATATATATTTATGATCATTTTTAAAATGTTTGTTATTTTATTTTAGTTATTTAATTTTCTATTTTTACTATTTCAATCTTTTAAATATTTGTTTTTATTATTTTAATACTTAAGTTTTTGCTTGTGATATTTTGATAATTTAAATTTATACTTTTGTTATTTAATCAGTTTCTATTTTTACTATATTGGTATTTTAAGTTTATTAAGGTCAATTAAAAAAAAATTCTTTAAATTACTAATTCGAAACAAACTAATTAAATTTGAATAAATGAATCATAATTTAACTTTGTATTCGATTTATAATTTCCACCATTTACGACAACGTGTAAGCGACACAGTACCAATTTTGGGCGCTGTGGGGTGCTAATCCTTCCTCACGCGTAACCGACTCCCGAACCCGTTTTAATCGAATCTTTGGTAAACGCAGACCAGCTTTTGTCTTAAAAATTATTTTTCTTAAAATTATTTTTAGGTATTCGACCTACCTAACCCAAAGGTTGATGGCGACTCTATCCGATAATCCAAATTAATTCAAAATCAGCCATTTTTCAAAATTAAAGTCGTAACTGTTTTTAAAACAATTAAACGATTGTCCCCGTCGGAAAACGGTTACGACAGTATTTTTTTCTAGTTTTCGAATGGAATGAAAATAAATAAATTGAAGAAAAATAGATGCAGGAAATGAAGTTGTATTGCTTCTTTGAAATTGAATCGGAAGAGCCCTCTAATACAAATGTGATGATTTTTTTTCAAGAGCCCCTTTTACAAATGTGTTGTTGGAGTTTTTTTTATAACTCAATTATATTTGTTTTTGTTTTTTTGCAGGCTGCTTATGGGAGCTTGGTACAGGTACCGGCAGGTTAGACACCGGCGCAGATAACGGTGACAGGCGACCGACGTATCAGGCGTTGGTGCAGGCAGGGTGGCAGCAATGGAAGCAAAATTTACGGGATTATTCCCTTTTTTGGTTTTTTATGTATTTTTGTTATATAACAACAATAATAATATTATAATAATAAAAATAACAATAACAATAAAAAAATAAAAATAAAAAAATGGTAATTTCAAACCCGAAGGCCGCTACCGTCCTAATCATGGGAGATGCCAACCATCTTTTTTTCCCCCTACGAACACGAAAATAAACATGTCTGAATTCGTTAAAAAATATGTAATTAAAGTTCGGTGTTGAGGATCAAGCAACCTCGATCCTCAAACTTACATATTTAGAAATGGAAGTGCATTGATGATTTGTACATTTCGAATTATTTAAATTTAATTTCGCTTTTATTTATAAATAATCTGATAATTACTAGTTCATATTTAAATTAAATATCATTATTTATTAGATATTTGAACCTATAAAAAATTAAATTTTCAATCATGGGTTGAATATTTGAATCAAATTTAGATGATCAAAATTCGAGTTCCCTTAAAATTAAAAAAAAATTCTATTTTATAATTCAAAGTCGAATTCAAATATTTGAATCTATAATATGCA